ACTTGTGCCAAAATTTCGAAACACCATGAAATGTTAGTCAATCATTTCCTTTTATACCAACATAGCTCGCATCCTTGTTTTCAGTCAGCTACCAGGTGCTCTACGTAGATAATCAGCGTGCCATCCTTTATTGGTGTTATCGGCGTGCATCAAATGGTACTTGTATTCAGCACGATGTTAACTTCATGATCAGGTAAAGATGCATGGGAAGTACAAATGGCTGTAGAGTAATGCGAGGAAGAGCAAATGCTACGAAGTTGTGTTCCTCTGATAATCTACGGAATTTAGAGCTCGTCACATCTCACATAACGACTTATCTCTGATTCTGCCGTATCTTGAAAAAGTTTGTATTGAGAAGGATAACTTGCGTTGGTTTGATTTACACGGTAAGCTTTAATTCTTATTGACTGATTGCTAAACTTATGAGTAAGACGTTAGGGAAACTAACTGAAAAGAAGTAAAGCTTAGATCCGCTTTTTTCGTAGTATCGTAAAACACAGGATCTTAGTTGCAATTTTTTTGTTCCAAAAATCTATTAATTATGCTGTTTCCGGTAATTTATTGATGCACATTGTTCTATACTAACCATTGGAACTTCAGCTCAATGTGGTAGCGAAATGTCGGCTTCCACTCAACTACGCCGTGATTTGGTCACACTTTCGCACTACGACGTGCTTCACATTCTTACGAATGTTCAGGAGCCGAAATGCTTGGCTCACGAAGTTAAAGGCGTACGTGCTGATCTTGCGGCCGTAAGTGTTCACCTCTCGTTGCAACTAATTCCTCTATCATGAGAAGGCACAATGTAGGGACAAAACTAGTAATTCATTCAAATTGTTTTCTTTACTACACAGTTCGTTATTTAACCTCAGCATCTCCGACGTTTCAAATTAATTTCTTGATCAAGGCCTGAAGAAAGTTAAGTTAGTCTTTTAATTAAGCTTACTAACCGGCTAAGCTCCTCCTCCGTACTTGTCCTTCAAATCATCTGGAGTGGACGTTATTGAGCCTGT